CCTTCCAGGTGACCTGCATGGATTGCATCGTTGCCTTCATGGCAAGCCTTTTTTTTCTCCGCTATCTTGTTTTCTCCCAGCCTTGCGCACCCAATGCTTGGAAAAACAACGCCTTGGCGGCACCCAATGCTTGGAAAAACGGGTGGACACTTCGTGACGCGAGTTTGTGGTTGCTGAGGTGTTTGCGGAGAGGCACCTGAAGCCAGCGGTGGCGGTGTCAAGTGCCCAAAGTTTGCACGGGACAACCTGCCTGGCTTCTCTGGCGACTGCGTTTGTCCCGACGACATGCCAGATTGCTACTCGGAAGTTTTTTGTGATCAGTGCAAGAACATCAGCAGGTCAAAGAACTCATGCTTCAACTGTCTTCTTCGACAGGCATTTTCCCATGAGATAAGTTTGTCCTGCATTGTTGCAGCACGAAAGGTTGCCAACATACCGAGCTAAGGTTACAAGAATGGACTGCGATGGTGCTTCAGGCCAGTCTGTTGCCTCTCGAGCCTTTTTATTTTTTTTTGGGGGGGGAATGTTGAATGCTTTGACAGGACCGATGGCCAGCGCGACTTGCACTATTTTGACCCTGGCTGCCTGGACTGTGAGTGCAGGGCCGCCCTGCAATTGAACAGCACTGACGAGGCTGGCAAGGGATGGTCTGGGTCCATGAGAAAGCTACCCTCGGCGGAAAATTTGAAGCCTCTTCTCCCTTTAAGGGGCTCAGGTGCATGTTGTCGGCTGCTTGCGCAGGTGAAGCCTTGCCCAGGCTTCGCTAAGTTTCCCGTCTCCAATCCGTGCCTTGGACCTGATTTGTGCCATTTTTGAAGCGACCTTTGAGGTTGGTAGGTCTGGTCATGGACCCCCGGATTTCAGACCAGGATTTCGATTGAGGGAGTGACGCGCAATTCAGAGCTTTGACAAATGTCCCTGGAGGTTCCAAAATTGCATCTGCCCGGACGAGCAGCCAGTTTGCATCCAGGCAGATGGCGCTGCAGCTCCGGGAAGGGCCGGGCCTTACTGCCGCGCTGCGCAGGCCGGGGACGTTGTGTTTCTCTTAGACCCCCCACAGAAAATGAGCATACCTTCAACCGCAAGGCTGCAAGGGTTGCGCCCAGCCCTAGGACCAACCACAAGGGTAGAACATTGGTTTGGTTTCCTGAGTTTTCTCATCGCCAGGGTCGCACAAACCCGACAGTTGCGGCGATCCAGGGCTGGGACTCCTCGACGGAATTCCGCCACGACTGCGCAAGCTGCTCATGTGTGGTGATGGACGGCGAAGGCTCACGCCTGCGCGACTTTGCTCCCGAGGCGCGACAGAAAACCGGATGCCCCATCTCCGACGTATGAGTGTGCCTGGGAACGTGTTTTTGGAGCCTGCCCTTTTCACCTTGGTTTTTTGTTGGAAAACCAACAGGATGCCACTTCTGGGGTCCCGGTAGTTTGACACACGTCCATACAGGAAGTCCTTCCTGGCCAGCCAGGAGCTTGTGTCAGGGGACGACTACGTGCGTATCGACGTTGCCTTTGACATCCGCCTCGCGCCCTGGCGTTGCACGTGGCATCAGGCAAAGCCTGGCGGTTCCGCGTGGGTTCCGCGTGGCGCCCGCTCAGCCCAGGTCAACACCCAGAATTCTTTGCAGGACTGGTCTTTGGTATCTGCCGGAGTGCTCCTGTCCGAACCCAGCAGGCCTGGATTGCAGAGCGTGCTTGGGTCTAGAGTTCCAGCTGCGCTGGCAACAATGTATGCAGAAGACTGCAGAAGGCGACCTTCCACTAGCAATTCGGAGTGTCATGTTGTGTGCTGTGAGGCAAGCTGTGGCATCCTCTGCCGCCTACGCTGTTGGTTTCCATGTCCCAGTGCTGGGCGGCTTTGACTACAGGCAGAAAGGGTTTGCGCGTTTCAGAGTGTGATGTGTAAGGTCTATGCGAAGACCTCACCAACGTGGCTGGCAGGAGTGGAATTGGAATGGAAGTGCATGAAGCGCCACATGGTGGGCTTTCTTGCCACTGCTTTGCCTTTCTGCTGTGCCTGCTCGTGCCACACTCCTGTGAGGACAGTGGATGGTGGTGACTACGAGGATGTGCGCATTCATCGACTCTTTGCAAAGCTCGGAGTCATGTTTGCGGAGCAGCGGAATTCAAGCACAGGCGGCGTCATTTCGACCGGGGTGTCAGCTTGTTGCCATAAAGTGCCTAGATAACACATGCTTCTTTTTCCAGGGGTCAAGCTCCGGCTGGAAAAGTGGCCATGGTTCAAAACCAATGGTACCATTTTGGGATAGGTGCACCAACCATTTTAGTCTATTTTAGTGGGGATTGGGATGTTCACTGGGGGTGCGGGTTTTGACCCATGGCCAAGTGGTTCTGCCAACGGCCGTGCTCATGGCAAGCATCTTTGCTCAGGGCGCAGGCTGGCAGCGTCGCACCACCATGCGGAGGCCTAAGCTCGACTCGCCAGCTTCTTGCAAAAAGCTGAGTGCAGGTCCGTTCCTTGCAGAGCCTCAGTGTCAAGCCCCTGTCCCAGCTCACTCTGAATGAGAGAGAGCAGCTGCTGCGCCTTGTCTGGGCTATCCACGCCCTTGTCGCTGTCCAGTGCCTTGTTTCTGCCGATGGCCGGTTGTCCAAGGAGTCTTTCAACGGTTTTCCGTCCAGGGCTATTTGGTCAGATGTTGGAACTGGAGATGCAGATGATCCTGAATGAGACGTCGAACTGGCACCCTTCACCAGGCAGGATGCACCAAAGAGGCGAGCTAGGCTGGCAAATGCCGCCTGCTCCAGAAGCGCATGGATTCAAGCGCGTAGCTTTCCAATCAGTGCGGCAATTTCGTCTGCAAGAACTAGAGCGAGATGGGGGGGAACACGAGCTTATCCAGGTACCCATGATGAGGCTTGTTTACTAGGGGTTCCCTCATCATTTCCAGTTTGTAGATAATCTGGCAAGAACTCGTGCTGCCTGGCTTCCAGAATCTGAAGCTGTGCAGGTCTTATCCAGGCACCACGTGTCTCCGTGAGCCGTGCGGTCGTGACGTCAGACCTGCAGGGACTGCCGGTGCTTGAAGTGACCGGCCCCTTGGAACCAACCCCACCACAGACGGAGAACCTGCAGGCGCGCCGGGCGCATCGGGGCAGTGGAGTCATTGAGCGTCAAGGGAAGCTGTGTACGTTGAGAGTGGGGTTTGTGATGCTTGCAGGCGAGCCCAGGCTTCGAGCCAGAAGTCCCAGAGCAGCAAGGGGATGGTGGAGAGAACCTGATGTCACTGGTCATCGTTGGCATCGTAGTTGGGTCACTCCTCATCGGCCTCCCGCTACTTTGTTGCTTTGCCCGGCGCTTGCGACGATGCATTCGCAGGCGCCGCGGACAGAAAGAGGGCTCAGGATCTCCACGTTCTCCTGGTGGCTCCCCCCGCGGCTCGCCCCGCTCCCCCCGCGGCTCGCCCCGCTCGCCCCGTGGCTCACCACGCTCGCCGGGACAGCTGGCATCTCCGCGGTCAGCTCGAAACGCGCCCCCAACCACCGCCGCCCAGCAAGCCACAACTCCCAAGTCGCCAGGCGGTCAGCAGGCAGGGACCAGCCCCGCGGCAAAAGCGAGCAGCGTGAAAATCACGCTCGCGGAGCCAAAGTCGGTATTTGACAAAGCGAAGCGCAAGGAGTCTCAGGAGGAGGACCTGGCTTGGCGTCAAAAGATGAAGCAAAAGACATCAAGTGCAGCTGCGAGTGCTGCCATTACTGCTGACGAAGAAAGTGGAAAGGGCACACGTGAGAAGAAAAGCATCATGGGTAGGATGCGTGGCAGGGGAAAGGACAAAGACAAGGCCAAGGACAAGGAGAAGGACAAGCAAAGCTCAAATCAGTCCCCCCGCGGAGGATCCCCGCGCTCCCCGCGATGATATTGCGGAATCGAATATTTTGTTTTTATGTCGGGAGCACCAGCTGACAAGTTAATGCAGATTGGTGAGGCCTTGTGGCTGCCATCAGGCCAAAGTGCTTGCGTCACGTCAAACAGGCCAAAGTGCCTGTTTCCGTTGCAACGTCAAAGACGTGCATGACGGTCCAAACGGCCGAAAGGTGACTCAAAGCGGGCATGCTCTGGTAAGAAGTATGGAGAGCACAGCAGCTTGTTGGACCTGCCCAGGAGCGTTCAAGGAGAGACACCAAGAGCCAGCAGCCAAGGGCAGTTTGAGTGGCCACCAGCCACACTTGCTGCGGCTACTTTGAAGACAGGGCAGGAGATTCCTAGCTTCACAAAACACCCGGCAAGTGTTGAAAACACGTGGCGTATCTTATTTTCAAGTCAGAGCGATCCATCAAAAGTGGTACAGCCTGACTGGGAGATCCTGAAGCAACGCAGGTGCTGGTAAGGATCATATGGGAAGCCGATCGCATTGCTAAATATTGCCTCATAATGTTTGGTACGCCGCAAGCTTGCAAGGAGCTAACCGCGTTAGCGGCCGCGAATGAGTGATTTGACATATGTGTTCTACACACTGGGCCGCCAAGCACAGGCAGGCAGCAGCCTTGGACAACCAGCTCTCTTTAGTGGCTTCCTGCAAGAAAAGGACAATCAAGCTTCGGCAGGCTTATGTATGCATTCTTTGGCGCATTGGCTGTTGGGACTTTATTTATTTATGTATCTATCACAAAGGAGGCTAGCTTGAGTTGTCCTTGGGATAGCAAGGCTAGACTGAGGGAATTTGGGGGTTGGCCCGGCCACAAAACCAATGAAATATCGGCCCCCCCTCCCCCCTTCGACTCCCCCCTGATCCGCCCTCTGCCCCCCCCCCCCGCCTGCGTGCCTGATTGGCAGCTTAGCTCCTTTTTCCACTCTTTTCGCTCGCGTCGCTTCACACTTCGGTCCGCTTTTTGCACCAAGTGACGGTGCACCTTGTCCCTTCCTCGCTTCGTCAGTGCCCCACTTTACATGGTCAACAAGTCCTTCCCTTCTTCGCGGAACGGAAATTGCCTCGTAACATTGTCAAGCTGTTGAGCTCCATGCGCACCTTCCTTTTCTTTTTACAGGACACATCCGGGGAAGCCACTTTACGACACATTAGGGGGGCCACTTTACGGTATCCTACCTTTCGCGTCTCCTCTTCCCAAGTTTATTTTCCTCTCCGGTCTTTTCAATGTTGGGCTGCTGCTGTTCCTGCTTTGTCGTGCCATCTCCTGGCCATTCCAAGAGGAGCATCCATCACAGCGCATGCATGTGACTGATGCCGGTGGTCAATGCAGTGGAAGTCGATCAACTCCTTGAGGCCCCCCCCCCCTCCCCAATTTTCAATTTTTCCATTGACTGGGGTACCCGTCCCAAAATGCAAATGGAAAACAAGGACGGGTACCCCCCCAAAAAGATCCAAAACACACCGGCACGCACCCATTCGCGTTTGTGGCAGCATCTCAGGAGAAAGTTGTTGGAACAGGCCTCTCGCAATCCGTGCCCAGGCCGATCACGCAAAAGAGGCGGCAGTCGCAGGGGCAGCACCAGCCGGAGGCGATGTTCGGGCGGTCCCCAAGATTTTGACACACCCAAGCCATGGCTTCAAACCCAAAGTCATGTTGAGAACCTCCAGCACATGCAGTTTTGAGAACGGGCCCTCAAACTGCATGCCCACTTGAACAGGGCTCCTTAAAAGATACACTTTGCCCAACCGAAACATGGCTTTTTCCACCAAAATAAAAGGAAACCACCATTTACTATTTACAAGGGAATGTTCAGGTGTATAGTGTCAGGATCCCACTTGAAGGGATGTCAGAGCCTTGGGCCGCTTTGACCAGCGGATGGTTTTTGCCAGGCGTCGCCGTGAAAGCAAAAGCCGCAGCCATGGGCGCAGCGGGGGGGCCCACTGATTGAGCCTCTGGGTGGGGTTCCTTGTTTTCTTGAGGCTCGCTATCCGTCTTGAAGTTGTCGTTTTAAAAGGGATGCACCTGAATTCTGACATCGGGGCACCCTGTTTTTGAGACAAAGGCATGTGTTTGGTGTCGAATGCTGCACAATCACGCATGCCCAAATGTTAGATGCTGAAAACAGCCGCCCGTTTCATGGCTCTGTGCCGGCCGGGCGCGTTGCCTGTGCCCTTTGCAGTGTGGATGTCTCAGATTCAGACGTTGCGAATTGCGACGCTTGGAGAAAGCCACGCGTCAGTTGCTCTGGTTGTTTCCTGCATTTGTGGAGGCCATGTCGCCTAAAGCAGCCTTGATTTTCCTCCACGGCAGTGGTGACACTGGAGAAGGAGTTCAGGTTGGGGGCTTTGGGCTTCGCAAAGGGCAACCCTGCAGTTTTACCTTTTCTTTCTTGGGTTGGTGGATGGCCGGCCTTGACTCTCGTGTAGGAGTGGTTGAGCTGTGTGAGTCGCGGCGCCTTCGAGCCAAATCCCCGGAGCGCTTCAATCGGCGGACTCGTTTTCCTCGTGGCTCGCTGAGGGCTGAGTTGGGGCGCGGAGGTGTGGCTCTTCAATGTCCTACTGCACCGATGGTGCCGTACAGATTTTCGGCCGCACAGACGGCTTCATCGCTTCCAATTGTTTGGTGTTTTCGCCGAGATCGCTTTGTGTCCAGGGTCGGCGGCGGATGAGTGGGGTGGTGGGGGAGGTGGAAGGTAAGCAGACTGAAGGCTCAAGTTTTTCGTTGAACTTAAGGCCTCAATGGGGGCAGACCGCAGAGAGTATGGCTCGTGCCCTACCGCCTTGCCCACGCTTTTGGTTGCACGCAGTGATCCTGCATTCTGCCCGGGCTTCACTTCAGGTTTGATCGGGTGGCCATGGCCTATGATGCGCCCGAGGACGAAGCCGGCCTCAAGAGGCCACTGGCTGAGGGAAGGCAGTTGCCACGAAGACAGGATACGAATCTTCTGCAGATTGACATGGAACCCAAAAACGCAAACACAGCCGTCATCTTCACAGAAATCTCCTTGTGGGGTATTTGCCGTCCATGTGAAGCTGCGGAGAAGATGCTGAGGTCCGTGGAGTTAGTTGACAAAGAAATTGCCGCCCGGCAAGGAGCAATATTCCAATATAGGGTGACCACGGGGAACTTCTAGCTTGCCTAGGACAAGCTGAAAGCCCTTGGCCTTCCTTCGTCGAAGATAGGCACCACAACAGACCAGATTTTCCCAGCGCCTTATGGTTTGTTGTTTGCAGGTGTGGCGGGGATGTCCATGGGCGGCTGCTTGGCCAGCCTCTTCCCCGGTTGTCTTCGCCTCGCGCGCCCTGGCACGCTGAGGCGCTGCACGTGGGCTACGGAATGGGTCGCCATGCTGGGACGCCGGGACCTCGACGGGAGGCATTGAGACCCGAGCCATGCGAGCAGGTTGGGCCTGGTGGCCAGCTTGAGCACTTTCCTTCCGAAGGACAGTTGTGGAGCCCCCAGCCGGGGCACTGCCTAGGCTCTGAGACCTGAAGCTGCCCAGGTCTAGATGCACTCGTTGCAAGATCACTGTCTGCACCACTGTTCATGGCGCACGGTGGGACGCCAAGACTTATTCGGAGTTGGCCATGGAAGCACACTTTGCCAAGGTCGGGATGACTGCATCTGCCCTAGGGAAGGGTTGTGTGCACTCCAAGTTTTGCATGGAACAATGCCATCTACATGCTGAGGCATGATCCAGCTGCCATGGGCAGAAGCGACGTACAAGCGGCTCCAGTCTGCTGGCATTGCAGCGAAGGACGCTAGCAATATAATTGTAGGAGCTGCATTCCAGCCCGCAGCCTTCCCTCAAACCCTCCATGCAAGGCAAAGCCCTCAAGTTGAGAATGGCACTCATTCGGTCAAATAGAATCTGAGAAAAAACCACCCGGGGTATTGCAATCTCAACGCGGTATTTTTTCGCACTAGGAATTGCTGATCTTCCCGGGAGTGCAGCACGAGCTCTGTGCAGAGGAGGCGTCGGCACCAAAGGACCATTTTGGGTGTCCCCCATTTTGACAAACATCCTTGTAAGTTTCTGCGCGTTTTTCTTGTGCCATTCAGCCAGCACGGTGTCAACCATGGCGGCTGGAAGGTGAAGCAATTGCAGGACTTTGTGCTGCAGAATCTGAGCGGAGCAAAGTAGAACATAATGCACCTGCAACTTGCCTTTTATCAAAGGGGCTTAAAGGTTTAGGTTTGTAGAAGGAATCCCTTGCATGTGGTTCTTAAGAAGGGTCACCAGCGGCCAAAGTGCTTGCTCGCAATGGTCTTGTTGCCGAGCGGCTTGAATCCCAAAAAGCTTGCTTGCCGCTTTGTATTGCTTTCGCTCAGGAGAGGCTTGCAACTGCACCCATATTTTCCTGACTTCGTAAGGTCGGGGCAGACGGCGACGCTGAGAGGGGATGAGACCGTTTCGCTCGAAGCTGGTGGGCTGAAGGGCGTGTAGGCCTTTCGGGGCACGCCCAGAAAAGGCTCAACTCACACCAATGGCCTTGTTTGGTTGGCAGGGGTGTGGCTTTAAGCAGCCAGCAACAAGCACAAGAGCAAAAGGGGCTGTTTCAAGTTTGCCCTGGCTGTCGAGCTAGCAAAAAGCTGAGAGGCTCCCATGTATATGCAGGCTGGGTACACATTCCTAGCAAATTAGGGCAACCCATGTCCAAAAAGACCAACGATCCAGACACCTATCGAGAAATGCTGCGCTGGTGGAGTTTCAGTGATGCCTTGAGAGATGTTTTGAGGTACCCAGAGTGAGAGCTGTTGCTTGTGCCCTGCAGATGTACAGTCTCAAGAGCACATGCCATTCTCACGGGTGTACAGTGCGCAGACGTCCCCGCCCTACCCAGGTTTGCCGCCTAGTTGAACCCGCGCCATGAGCAACGTGCTTTATCTAGGGTTGAGACTTGCCGCTGGTTGATGCCGAAAAGGCTTGCCAGCTGTGAGCTGAACCTAGGCTTGAGCTACATGGCACTGGCAAAGTGCTTGGCTGCTTGGCCAATGAGGCCGGGTGCTGGCATTCTCAACAGGCCACAAGCAATCAACATGTGAACCAGGGCCCAGGTGGATGGGTCTGGCTTGACGTGATCGCCCATTTGATCAGTGCAGGGGGAGGCTTGCCAGATCCCACTGCCAGCCAGGTTTGATAGGGTTTCACATGTCAGCCGCAGCCATTGGACCTGTCAAGGCATGGAGCAAACGTCGAGTTCCAGACAGCAACGATTCCACAAACGCGGATGCCCATGGAGCAAGGGGGGATTAATTCCTTCCCAGCCTCGGCTATTCTTTGCACATACCACGCCACGCACGCACAGACGCACAATATCAAGGAAGCCTGCGCCGCAAGGCACGGGTAGCGGTAGCAATGGGCAATCGTGCCAGCGGATGGTCTAATCACTGGACATGACGTTGCTCAAGGCGTTGGACAAGATTCGCGCGGCAGCAGGCCAAACAAACAGAAGCTACCTGTCGCAAAAAATCAATTACTGCACTAGCACAATCACATGCGCGCCACAAGGATTGCACCTGCAGTACCTCCAGGCCTACGCGGAAAATCAAGTGACACTTGTCGCTAGTGAACGCTGGACTCGTTCGGTACCTCTAAAGTGGGTATGTGCCACAGTAGGGTGACCCACAAAATCGTGGCTTTGCTTGTGCCTTCCCTTTACACCAATCTGAAAAGGGTACCATAAAAACAACAGACCCAGGTTATTCCCTGGCACTGAAGCCAGATGCGTGGCTACTGAGGACTCCGCCCCTTGGGGAGGTGGTCGTTTTCCTGGAAAACCTGCGGAAGGCCATGCTATTTTCACACTCCAAGCCTTCGCTCCCTTTGCCCCTTTCGACTATAAAGTTGACACAAAAAGCCGCCAACTTCGACCCCAGCACTTGCATGAGCCTGTGCAGGTGCGCTCAGTCATTGCCAGCCAGGGATCTCAGCGGTCTCAGCGCGAGCTGAAGCGTTTTTTCTCCGACTGTGAGAACCATGCAGGCGCGCTAGCGCCGTGCTGCCGGGACAAGGGGGGTGGAGGGCGGGGGGTGGGGCGTGGGGGAACCAAGTTTCCAAGAAAGCACTCAGGGGCCACAATCCAATTTCCCAATGTCCCTCAGGAACCCCAATGGCGTTGTTGGGTGCAGGGGTGTCTTTTTGCTACCTTTTGTGAGAAAATTGCCGACCCCCTCAAAAAGGAATGCTTCACTACGAGGGGGTCGATCAATTGTCCACAAAAGGTTTCAAAAAGACCCCCCTGGTTGGGTCACGCATGCTTTGGGTCATGCATGCAGCTGTCCAGGCTTCGCAAGGCTGCGCGGCCAGCTCCAGAGCGAAGATCTCACGGTGTCCGGCAACCTCCTGGCGCGTCTCTATGGCAGTCTTCGAAGGAGGGAGAAATGGCTATGGGTCAAAATGCGTACCCAAAATGGAACCCTGGTAAATGGAACCAAAGACTAAAACCTGCGGTCTCCTGGTGGTTGTATTTTGACCCATACCCAAATGAAATGCTCGCGAAGCTCAGATACCTTGGACACAGTGCGCGGTGACTGCGGCAACTTGTGAGAACTTCCTGACAGGATGGATTTTCACTCTGATGCGGAGCGCGTGTGGCCCTGCGTCATGGAGCAAGCAAAACAAGGCTTCCTGGCCCTGCTTGCTTTGCTTGCTTTGCTTGCTTTGCTTTTGCTTTGCTTTTGCATTGCTTTTGCTTTGCTTGCTTTGCTTTTGCATTGCTTTTGCTTTGCTTTTGCTTTGCTTTTGCTTTGCTTTTGCTTTTGCTTTGCTTTTGCTTTGCTTTTGCTTTTGCTTTGCTTTTGCTTTGCTTGCTTTGGTTGTCTTGCATTGCGTTGCAGTGCTTTGCTTGCTTTGCTTGCTTTGCTTGTCTTGCATTGCTTTGCTTTTGCTTTGCTTTTGCTTTGCTTTGCTTTTCTTTTGCTTTGCTTTGCTTTGCTTTGCTTGCTTTGCTTGCTTTGCTTGCTTTGCTTGTCTTGCATTTGCGTTGCATTGTGTTGCATTGCTTTGCTTGTCTTGCATTGGGTTGCCTGCTTTGCTTGCTTTGCTTGCTTTGCTTGCTTTGCTTGCTTTGCTTGCTTTGCATTGCTTTGCTTTTGCTTTGCTTGCTTTGCTTTGCTTGCTTGCTTTGCTTGCTTTGGTTGTCTTGCATTGCGTTGCAGTGCTTTGCTTGCTTTGCTTGCTTTGCTTGCTTTGCTTGCTTTGCTTGTCTTGCATTGCGCTGCATTGCTTGTGTGCTTGTGGTTCCAGGCAAGCTGGAGAGCCCAGACCTATTTCGTGTGTGGGCAACTTGCCCGCCCGACAAGCTGCCCGCCCTGGATTCTGCGGTGAGCAAGGCCTTGGCATTCGATGGCTGGAGTCGCAGGGTTGGGCGACCCTGGCTTCAACACGGTTGCTTGTACCGCTTCCCCCATCTAGGAAGCGGGTGGAGTTGGAAGAAGTGCGCCGTTTCAGGCGATGCTGGATACCAAATCGGTCAAGGCATGGCAGATGCTCATCGCTACTGGTCTGCACTGTGCCAACATTGTGCTTATTGACAGGGCGTGGGCCCATTGCAATTTCTCGGAAGCTAGAAACTGGCTGGCTTCTCATGACATGCCAGGTCTTGTCCAGATCTGGTGCTGCACCTTCTGAGTCAGAGACTCTAAGAGTGTGTGTGGAGCGTTTGGGTCAGATGCTGCAGGACGCTGCTTTGGGTCTTGCTGGCGCAAGCAATCAACATTGTGCCCGTCAAGGTCAATGCGTAGATTTCTAATGGGTTTGAGGTGATCTGTTTGAGGTTCGTTGCAGCGATTGCTCCCAATATTAGTTTGTCTTGTTGTTCTGGCCCTTGACGTCATCAGGGAGAAGTTACGTGAAGGGGATGTTACATGTTGAGAGAGAACATGACTTGTGGCCTTTCCTTTGTACACAGCGATCGCATTGTAGCCAAGACTGGGTGAACCCAGCCCGACCCGAAGAAATTTGAGTTGTTGCCAATTTTGCCTGTGTTTCAGGACGTTCAGGTCAGCCCCTCCGACATTGTAAAAATCTACTTGCGGATGCATTTGGCCGCTCCAAAGCAGGCGTGGCGCGCGCTTGGGTGTAAGATGTCCAAGCAAGCCCACCAGACAGGATTCAAGAACAGCTTGGCTCCAGCACACCAGCTCTTTTTGTGTGTGCAGCCTGCCTGTCTGTGCTATGGCGTGTCAGGGGGCCATCATTGGCCCTGAACTTCTGAAGGACGTCAAGCAGCAGCTGGTCTCAAGAGGTGCCCAGTGCGAGTCTCGCCAATGCGACGTAACAAACACGTACACACATGCTTACACACATACACATACTCTCATACACGTATACACACGCACACACACACACATGCACATACGCACAAGGGGATGCTCTTGCAGGCGCAACTCTCCAGCCGGCAGAGATTTGCAGCCTTCTTCCGGCCCTGGAGACCAGCGACGTTCCCTTGTGGCACATGCTGAGGCCTTCACTTCTTGCCAGGGGGGGAGCTCGCAGAGTTTCTTTTGGGAGGGCTTTGGTTTCCTTTTGCTGCGGGGTTCTCAATGCGTTTCTTTCTTGAAAGCAGCGCGAAAGGCTCTTCCGGTAAGATCGCCTGCAAGTGTACAGAGCGACAGCAGATAGCACAGACTCGATATGAAGATCGTTTGCTTCCACCGGGAGGCAGCGCACAGAGCGGCGCAGATAGATAACACCCCAGATAACACACAGAAATTGCACAGAGAGTTGCGCAGACATCTTACCCTCTGGTTACTCTGGTTACACATGTGATATCACAGTGATATGTTACAGAGAGTTGGGGGAGTTTACGCTTTGATTGCGTGTGAGGTGTCGTGGGAAGATTTCTGGTGTAAGCGCAGAATGTGACGGCGCAGGGTTGTGGAGTCGTGGAGCTTGAGATTGCGCTTGCAATTAGAGGTGATCTCGGGGTGCGGCAAGGCAGGACAGAACAAGCCTTTGCGCGGATCGGCCAGTGGTTAGCAACTTTTCAACATCGCCGCATGGCCCTCTGCGGAGATTCTGCTTGTTGGACGTGAATGGGTGGTCTTGGCGCGGTCCCCACACGACCCCCTGCGGAGATTTGTACTACTTCCGTGCGCAGAAATTGTGATGTTTGGGTCAGAGCTACACAACTTTTGCACTTAATTGTACCTCCGTTTTCAGATGTCTGAGCCGGCCTGCGAAACTGCACTTCGTGCGTAGTGCAGGCGCGCAGCCCACGAGAAAAACTGATTTGTCAAAGCACCGGCCAACTCGCAGAGAGATAGTTGCGCAGAGACTTTGCGCAGAGAAACTTGCACAAGGAACAGTTGCGCACAGAAACATGCACTGAGAACTCTCCCAGAGAACTTGCGCCCATATCTTGCGCAGAGAACCTGGGTAAACAAACTTGAGCAGAGAAGTTTGGGCCGAGAACTCGCGCAACGATTACTTGCGCAGAGAACTTTCACAGAGCGTTTGGAGCAGAGACATTTTCGCCGAGACACCACTGGCGCGGAGAACATGCTTCGCTCACTATATGTTATGCTTTCGAGCCACCCGTTTTCTATTTTTTTCTGGGCGGGGAGGTTGATTTGATACTTTTGCTGTGTGTGCCTCTTTGGGCCACCCACTGGCTCGGGTAGTTTTGAGAATGTCTTACACAAATGGAGCCAGACTCAGCGCATGGCATTCGCAGGGACCAGCTGCTTGCGGCCAAGGATCTCTCGCCGGCAGCTCAATTTTTCTTTGATTTGCATCATGTGCATTTTTTTTCTCCGGGGGTTGTTTAAGAGCGACTCTGAAGGGAGACCACTGACTTCAGGGGTTCCCTTGTTCAGGGAGCCCATGCCAAACCTCGGGTGAATCGTACGTAGAACCTGGCAGACTACCCTCCTACAAATTAGCATGAGACCCACAAAGGAGTCCAATGCTCGAAACCATGGCATCAGAAAGAGCAAGAATAGAGATCTACTCCCCCAGAAAGTGATCCGGATTCCCACTAAAATAGGCCACCCGAAAAGTTGATCAGTGATGAATCAACTGAGATCCACGTGGCTTGACGCAGCATTGAGGCTGCGGCAGTGCCTTGACGTCTTGGAGTTCCTGCAGCGGATTCCGAACAGCAGTGGCAGCTGGGTGGCACTGATAGCCTCAGCTCGAGCAGAAGCTCATGAGGGTTTGACAACCCCCCCGAAAAGTGGCGACATTTTTGAGGTGTGACACGACCATTCAGTGAGTACGAGGATGTCAATTAGTTGACCCCATTTTGCCTTGAAGCCAGCAAACCCCAAAGCCGAAGCCACAAGGTGCTTTCCGATCGATCCTCAGGCTGATCAGTGCACATGCAATACCACTGATCATGCAACGCAAGAACTCTGAGGGAGAGATGTGGGGACCCCTGTTTGCTGCCCCGAATGTTCCTTTGACTGGGGGTGCCAACCTGTGCATGCGAGCTTGCCAACTCCCATTCCCGCAGGCGAGCAGAACCTGAAGTCGAGAGTCGTGCGACGCCTCGAGTTTGCGCTCTCCAGGGGCTTTTCTGATCCCAACGAGGTGGCTGACGTAAGCAGGACGGTGCCAAATCGGCCTCCAGGGTTGCTGCCACTTTCTTTCTTGTTCGTCTCGGCTGCATATCGCTTTTCAACATGCAAAGCTCCGTGTCAACTTTGGTGCAGCGATAGCTGCACATGGCAACCGGAGAGAGAGAGAGAGAGAGAGAGAGAGAGAGAGAGAGCGAGAGAGACATCTCAATGTGCAGTGCAGACTGTGGGGGCTCGTGCTGACAGCACGGCCTTCGTACAGATGTACGAACTGAGGAGGCTCGAAGTGGTGGCCTCCTTCGGCAAGGTTTGCAACGCGCTGGCGCGCACGGCAATTAGCTTGCGCCAGGACCGATGTTTCATGGTTTGCGCCCCGCAATGTTTCCACCTTGGGCAGAGGGGCTGTCGCGATCAATCTTTGCCGCAGCAGCCGCTTTGGGTCCTCGTCAGGATCTTTACCCTGGGGTGCTGTGGCGCTTCTTCAATCGGGCAGGCTTGCATCAGCATCTCCATGCCGGAAGTCAGTTAGCTAAGGGTGTGCTGAGCCATTTCAGCCAAGCCTTTGCTTCCCAACGGCAGGTGAGGTGGGCCTCGCAGATCAGCACACCTCTCTGCTGGCGAAGTTTGACAAGATCGGCAACTGGGCAAGGCATTGGCGGAGGTCCGGCTGGCTGGATGTTTTGGTTGGTGGATTGGTTGGTTGCAATGATATCAAGCAAAGGTGAGATCTTGGAGTCGCACGGAGTTCAAGCAGATCGCATGTCCATGCCGGAGATGGTCAAGGCAGTCAAAGCGATGCGCGCCAACAAGGTCACGATGCCCAACTGTGTTGACCAGATCGTTCAGCACTTTCTCAAAACCCTGCAGCATGGCGAGAGCCATTTGGGGGACTCGGCTGGCACAGCCAAAGATGAAGACAGCGCAGCCACATCTGGGGAAGCTGACGCCGATGCTGAGAAAGCGGCCGCGGCCGAGTCAGTTAAATCCAGGGAGGAGCAGTGTTGAAGATAATTTCCATCGAAGCAGTGTGTGCATACCAGCCCAACCTGCCCGTAGGATGCTTCTGCAGTACCACAAGCACATGCACCATTAAATTTGTTGGCAAAAGCGGCTTGGCAGCCTTTGAAGTACACAACTTCTTGGAACTTGTGATGCTTTGCCTTACGCACACGAGTCGCAGTCGCTTGAGGTGCAGCATATGGTCCTGCTGCTGTGGGCTGAACTTGAGCGCATGGAGCAGCCAAATCCGGAGCTCACAGCAGCTGTCCTGGAGATTTGCTCGCCTGAGAGGTGCAAGCTCAGTACAAGGCCGGTGCCCAGAAGCACAGCCGTTTGGAATCTGAAAGGTTTTGCGGGTTGGGGTCTTGAAAGCCTAGGATGACCGGCGAATGCTTGGCAGAGTTTGCTGATGCTTGGCTTACGTGGAGAGGGCAAGCTCTTGACAGGTCACGAAAGCTAGCTTTAGCTAGCTGAAGTTTCTCCTTGCGTAAGCAAGGTAAGGGGCTCAACTGCCGAAAGATTGATTTTTTCAATTATTTGAGCCGAAAAGATTGAAAAAATCAATTATTTAGACCCCCCCCCCCCCCCCCCCCCCCGTCTCAGGCTCGATTCCTCCTTGGTCCACCCCTCCCCCCGGGCAGTGGCTCAGTGTTTCAGCAGTCTCGGTTTGACCGTTTTGGACTTGGTGTTATGAACTTTTACATGTTCCACCGATTCAGCTGCTTCATTTGAGACCTCAGTCTTCTCAGTAAACCACCTCGCAAGAATCTTTGCACACGCAGCATGCAGAACCCAGAGGTGCTTTAAGACAGCTTCTGACGCCTCTCGTTGTTTTCATTTTTCAAGGTTTGCCACGCTACCATGTGCGTTTGCATGTCGCATCCTACGAATCTTGCCGGGCCTCTCGTTGTACACAAGCTACCTCTGAATCCACTCTGTCACCGACCCATCTCATGCAACAACTGCTAGCTTTCGTTCACCCGCTCCTCAAGTGATAGGGAGACTGACCTGACCAATATCCAAAGATGTCGGGGGATAGAGCCAGCTACATTCAGGTCGCCTGTAGTATGCTGGAGTATGGCTGCACTGGGTTGTCTCTTCTGGATCTGCACTTTCTCTCCATCTCTCCATCTCTCCAACGCTTCTAACTTTGCCTAACTTCTATGACTCTTTCCCTCTCCCTCTTTCCCTCTTTCCCTCTTTCCCTCTTTCCCTCTTTCTCTCCTCTTTCTCTCTTTCTCTCTTTCTCTCTTTCTCTCTTTCTCTCTTTCTCTCTTTCTCTCTTTCTCTCTTTCTCTCTTTCTCTCTTTCTCTCTTTCTCTCTTTCTCTCTTTCTCTCTTTCTCTCTTTCTCTCTTTCTCTCTTTCTCTCTTTCTCTCTTTCTCTCTGTCTCTCACTTTTCCTGCGTTTCCACTTCTTCTCTTTCCGTTTTTCTGGCTTTCTGTCTTTCTATCTATCTCTTTTTCTCTCCTCTCCTTCTCTCTCCCTCTCTTTTTCCTTCTTTCTTTCTTTCTTTTTTTCTTTCTTTCTTTCTTTCTTTCTCGCCTTTTCTCTTTAGCTTTTTCTCTCCTCCTCCCTTTAATTTTTTTCGGGTTATTTCATTTCCTTTTCACATTTTCCCTTTCTCTTCTGTTTTCCTTCTAGTTTTCTCCTGCTCTCATTTTCTCTTTCTCTCCTTTTCTCTTTCTCTTCTTTTCTCTTTCTGGCTTTCTGGCTTTCTGGCTTTCTGGCTTTCTGGCTTTCTGGCTTTCTCGCTTTCTCGCTTTCTCTTTCTCTCTTTCTCTCTTTCTCTCTTTCTCTCTTTCTCTCTTTCTCTCTTTCTCTCTTTCTCTCTTTCTCTCTTTCTCTCTTTCTCTCTTTCCCTTGTTCTGCGTCGAACCTTTCAACAAAGCTCATCGTGCCGTGCAAGCTCTTTGCAGTTGTTGCCCGGCTTCCACTTTGGCAGGCATCGGCAAAGGTGTTCTTGGTGGCTAGTGATTGCAAGTAGGGTGGCGACTTAAGGGGAGGAGACATCTGCCTTCTCTTTGCGGCTTTGCGTCCGAGATCTCTTTGTGATCTGGAGGTGTGTCTCTGAGAGTGCCTCAAAGCTCTGAGTGGCCGACTGTCGCTTCACGCTTCATCACCGTTTCAATGGTACCAACTGGGTCCAGTTCAGCATTGGCCTCAGCGCTTCTCATTCTTAGAGGGTTTTGGTTTGTGCTTGTTATGACTACTTGCGTTACCAGGTGGAGCCTTTTGTCAAGGAAGCCAGCCACAGGAGCCCCAGAACCATTGCCAAGCAAGCCAAGAACATTTGGCTGGTCCAAACCGTTTTGGATCCCATTTTGGTTAGGTGAATTAATTCACCACCCATTTTAGAACCCATTTTGGTTAGAACGGTTGGATTGGAATGTTCACCAGGCTACGATTTGGGTTTTGACATGCGAACTCCCCGCCAGCGGCAATTTCGCCTGAGGACCTGGAGGCCGCGGGCTCCTTGCGGGCCCCGCTCCTGGCGGCCCTCGGCACCAGGCCTTGTGGCACACTTTGGTGAACCCGTGGTGAAAACCGTTTTTTTCTTTTTTCTTTTTCAAGGCATTTTTGCTTGCATGTTGCTTGCATGAGCCCAATCAGGGCCAACTTCTGAGCTTAAACAGATGGTTGGGTTCAGAGGTTCTCGAAGCAAACATGGTTTGTTTTGCTTTTTGTTCAGCATCGCGCGAAGGTTGCCGGAGTTGTCCAGCTCCGAGCTGCTGAGCCTCGTGACGGGCAGCGTCCAGGCAGCTGCGCTGGCGCTGTGGCGGCAACTGGAAACGGGGTCGGACCGGGGTCCGATGGGTCCCCACTCAGAAGTTAAGAAGTTAGACAATTTGATGTCCAGACTTTGCAGAAAAGGATTTGATGTCCAGAGACACACTTGGACACCATGCGGCCGAGATCTCTGGAATGTTCGGACTGGTAGGTCACTTCCCATGGTAGGGTTTCAACGATCCTTGTTGGGACATAGATTTTGTGCGACAGCATGGAACCCCGGGATGAATAAACCTTTCAAGTGCGCTGGCAGGCATCGAGGAAATTAGGACGAGCATGCACGGGCATCATAACTCCATGTATGTGACACTCAATGGGATCCTGGGATGAATAGCTTTCTGTTTGATTTTGATCCGGGGGTGTCCCATTTTCCAAGTTGCTTCTTAGACAGGAATCACACCCGTCTACGTCCACCGGATTGACCAATCCGAGGTTTATACTAGGCCTTCTGGGCCACATGTGCAAGCTTTGCGTTGGGCCTTGATGAATCGTGTTGCTCTGCTGGTGAGGGTTGGGGGTTCAGCAGCTCAGCAGATCCGAGCGAGGCAATGGAGGAGGTGGACAAGAGGCTCTTGGCGGACACGCTGCGGGTCTCTTCGGGCTCGGACATCGACCAGCTGTTGGCTTGCTTGAGCAACTTGCGGCAACGGCCGGGAGACGAGACAGCCGAGAAGCTGGCGAGGAAGGCGCTTGGTTACAGGGGGAAAAAACGAGAAAGATCCAGTTTGATCTTGATGCGCCAGTTTGGCCGCTTGGAACATGACCTCTGCAACAACCAAGAAAGACAGGAGTTTTTTGTGGATGATGTTTCAGAGCCCTTGGAAGGTTGATAGCCAAACAAGCTTGCGATTTTTGGGCCCGCGCTGCTTGCGCTGAGCCCCTGAGGTCTGTCAGCTGTTGCTGAACATGCCGGAGACGCACTTGACGCAGATCATGCAGGCCGTGTGCTCGACCCTCTCCGAGCTGTGCTTGGAGGAGCCCAGCTTACGTCCAAAGCTTTGCAAAGGCGGGCAGTGGGCGTTGGGGGGGGTTTTCGAACCCACCAGGGTGCCCGCAGGATTCGTTTCCTTGAAAAAAAACAGCGTCCCTTGGTCTCTTTTTGCGGCCAACCATCCCAGCCGCCAAGGCCTGCGGCAGCTCGCGACCGCGAAGTCGCCGTCGCCCGCGGCGGAAGTGGAGCTGCTCTTTGCCATCGCCAAGATCTACGGAGGGAACTTGCCCTTGGACATGATGGCCTACTCCTGGCAGCTGGCCACCCGGAGTTCGCAGGCCGCGGCTTGTCTACTTTAGCTTCATTTTGCCTGTGGGGTAGACTAAACAGATGGAATAAGGGGACCACAGAACCCCCCACCCCCTGACACCCGAAAATCAAAGCCAAAGAGTGCAGCAAAAGCGGCCAGCGTTTGCAATGATTCAATGGCAAGTTGCCAAAATGTCGCTCGGGATGGCTGAGGACTTGAAGGATGCTGAAAAAGCGAAGCTGTGGGCCTTTGCATTGGCCGCGCGGAAGCTGTCCTCCAGCGCCACCTGGGCCAGCCTCAGGTACGTCTTACACCGACAAGCTGAATTGGCCCCTTTTTTTTGAGGATCCCTTTTGGGAGTTTTAAAGTTGGAAGCCAACAGGAAGCCCATCATGAGGTCTATTTTCAGGCCTCCAGTTTTAGACTCAATGAACGAAGGCGTGCATGCCAGGCTGGCCCCAGGGGCTCCTTCGCTGGACCCCTCGGTGTTTCCGCCCAAGGACCCGCAAACTGCTCCATGGGCTGTTGGGTCGTGGGCCATGGGGTGCAACGTCCCAGGAGCCGAAGCTACCCAGCTTCGTTCTGCAGAGAGACCAGGCAAGCCAGGCGCCCGTGCTGCATGCTGGCCTGGGACCTCAAATGCCTTGGTTTTTGTACAGAAGGGGTGGTGTTTTGTAGCATTTTTCATGTCAAAATCACATCCCAACCAACACCCGGTCTCTTTTTGTAGGGGAATCCTTTTGGTGGACCCCCCTCTTAGATTCCATGGGGAATTTGCAGGGGGGCAATCGAATCCTGCATATTTGCAGGCGTTGGTTGGCCAGATCCGCTTGGCCCTGCCGTCAGCTGTTCCGTCGCAGCTGAGCGAGCCCCTTTTTCAGGCCAGGATGCTACAAGTTCTTCCGGGGGTCTGGAGAGACGATAGATTAGATGAGTCCTTCCAGGGAAGAGATAGGCAATGCCAGTATGAAAACCATCAATTGACACACATTTCTTTCTTTATCGGTTGTCTTCTCTGACAACTTTTCCTTTCACCAAGCATTCATTTCTCTCATCATCTCTATTCCATCTACATCTTTTCCGCAGCTCCGGGGACTCGACGTGGCGCACTTTTGCAAGTGATGCTTCTTCGGCTACTCTCTGATGTGTCTTCGCATAGCAGACCAACCAATCAAGAATCCAGCCAGCCAGCCATCCATCCACTGCATCCATCCATGCATTCCACTCCACTATCCATCCAACCATCCAACCAACCGACTGACAGACCCACCCGTCCGTCCATCCAGCCGGCGTAGTGCCTTGCTGCCTGCCAGGTGCCTGGCACGCCTTATGTGGCAGACTTTGCCTTTGAGCAGCCGTCAGCTCAGCCTTTTCGCAATACCGGTGTGCCCCGCCGCCCCCCAAATTGTTATTCTCTCTGCTTCCAAGGGCCTCCCCAAAAAGAGGGGCACCCTTCAACAACTACTTGGGGTGGCTTTGGGGTGGCTTTAACGGGAAGCCATGGAGAACAACACCGTTGCGAAGTCGGGGTTCCCCAAATTTGGAAACACAGATTCACATCTGCAAGGCTTGCAGTCTTCCTGGTGGTGCCGCGAGCAGCTCATCAAGCTGGAGAGAGGCAGCTGAATGGCTTTGGCAGATTGATGCAAGCCACCCTGGAGGCAGGGTGCCAGGACAAGCAATAGTGTTGACTCCTTGCTAATACCCCCCCTCCCCCACCACCCCTCCCCCAGCCCCATTTATGAACAAGGAGGGCGGGTCCCTGTTTTCTTTCTTCTAGTCCCCCCGGCCATCAATGAGGTTAATAGACCAGGGGTCAGCTTATAAGCTTCCAAAATGTCCCAGATTGACCAGCGAGAAACGTGGGAGGAATCCATGGATGCGCCCCCAAAAGGCCCCTGAGTGAGGCTTTGGGCTGGAGAATCCTTTGGGCGTGGCCCAGCGACTGGGCGGGGCTACTGCGCGATGCTTCGGATGAGGAAGCGGTTGCAGCGGCTTTGGCTTGTTTGGCAAAAGACCAGGGTTGGCCAGTGCCTTTTGGGGATCCCGCGTGTATGTTAGTTTCACATGCAACTTGGATTGCCCGATTTTTGCAAGTATTCCCGCACTGCTTGCTTGAACTGGCACATGCTGCCTGGCACTTAGGCTCTGAAATCTGCCATAGTGGAAGGCAAAGTGGAAAGCCAGAAGGTTGCTGCCGACGAGGAACAGGCTACCAAGCTGGAAGAGGAGGAACAGGCTGCCAAGCTGGAAGAGCCAGTCGATCCAGACCCAGCACTCAAAGAAGGCAGGGTGGGCACACTTGATCGAGTCAGGCTCTATTGAAGCAGGCGCGCTGGGTTTCATTTTTCCCGTCAGCCATACATTCTGTCCGCTTTCCTCTCCGTCCTTCCATTTCTCACTTTTCCACACGCCAGTTTCTATTAGCATTTGACCGTGCAGTTGCACTATCAACTTGTCTATGTGTGAAACACAGACAACTTGCAACGTCGTGGCAATGTGGATCGAGAAGAAGGAGTGCTACGCGCATGGCGGACCCTGGCCTCACGGAGGTTATGGGGTGGAGAAGATCCTGGAAGCACCAGAGGGCCCGACCTCGGTGATAAGAAGGGCAGATCTCCGGGAGGGACGAGACCATGGAGGCGACGAAAGGACTGCGAAGGACGCCGGCGTGGGGAATGCGGAGGGCCAAACAGAGAAGTAGTTCAGCAGAACGGGTTTGGGCAAAAGATGCCAGGAACAAAGACTTGAGGAGGCCGTCACCACGATGCACCGCCTGCACCACCACCCTTTGGATGAATTACCGCCGCTTCTGCAACCTCTCTGCGCCCAGGAAAGACCTCTAGCCGAGTCTCCCCTTCATCCCCGCTTGAGATGTCAAGGTGCTGGTGTGCTTGCCTGACAGTGAAGGGCTTGGTGTTCTGGAAGGGCCCAGCCAGGAGGCAGTCGAGCGCAATTCCCTTTGACCCGTGAACACTTCTTCTGCAAGCCCCATTCGCATTGGGCCGTCGAGGCAGAACTCATTGCGTCGCTAGAAGCAGTGGTAGTATGAGGCTTGGAGCCACTTCGTGGCTGTTCTATGACTGTACTGTGCCGAGAAGGCTTGGGCGCAGGCACCCAGGACAGTGAGACCTGGGAAAATCTGGGAAAGAAAGGCGAAGAGTAGGGTCAAACAAGTTCCATGCCGGCGGCCAGCCCGGGCGCTCCAGGTAGTTGTAGCTTGACGCACGCCACGGGTCCAGTGCGAAAGAAGATGTAGGTGGTTAGCCTCGTTACGTGGAGGCCTGGCTCGGCAGCCAAGGCTGGAGCGAACTCGATGGGCGCGCTGAAAATGGCGAGAAGTTCAAGAATGCGTCCTGGAATGGGTGAGCAGGTTTCGAGGAATGAGGGGGCGGTCAACAAACGAAGACGAACATGGCACTGCGTGAAGCAGGGAGTGATGAAGAAGTTCAAGAGGACCTCTCCTGTTGTTCGCGGACGCCGCAATGGCGGTGGGTTCCAAGGAGATCCTGGGCGTGGCAGAGCCAGCTGGAGGAACGTTGGTGGCTCGAACTGGCTAGCGGGGAAGATCGGCGACACGAAGAAGCGGAAGGAGATGCTGACATCGTTGCGAGCAGGATCGGAACTGTCGGAGAAGGACAAGCTGCGACACGATAGGGTGAAGCGCTTGGGAAGTTGTAGAATGTTCCTTGTTCTGGAAAGTGAGCCCTTGATTTGCTCATGGGCGTGCGCTTCTGCCCATGGAGCAAGCGGAGCGCCCTTCCCCGCGGTGTTTGTGCTGCATTTGTGCTTGCGCGTGTGTCCTTGAGTCCATGCGTTTGTTCTTCAGTGCGTCCACCTTTCGCATCTTTGGAAAGCCGCGCAGGTGAGGAAAGGGAAGCAGTGAGCGGAGCATCTTGAAGGGCAATGCGGCAATCGATGCAGCCAGCGTGTGGTGTGCGCGCAGGAATGTGTTAGCTGTAAAATGGTGCTTGAAGAAACCAGCCTGCCAGGCATAGGTTTGCATGCCATGCGAGCTGTTGTACTTGCCTCGGCTTTGCCTGGCAAGTGACTGCACTACTTGGCGTTTCAGTAGGGCTAGGGTGGCTGACTCAAATGGTGCGGACTGCCAGGTTTGATGTTGGCCTTCAACGCATCAGCCAAGCCCTCAGCCATTTGCACCTCTGGGGTTGTCCTGGGCCATTAGAAGGACTTGCCGTTCAGAGCCAAGGCGAAACTTAGAAAGCTGAAGCTTCGAGGAGGTGCGGATCTTGCTCAGAGGTTCGCAAGGTACAGCGGACTGGACAGGTGCAGCCTGCGCTGACATTCAGTGTGCCAGTCCCTCAGACAGGCTTGATCGGCTCGATCGCTCCCCGCGGTTTGTTAGCTCGCTAAAACCTGCAAGTGAGGTACGGCAGGAGGAGATGCACTTCGCTGACCTGGAGTTCCCAGCCATACCTTGTAGAAGTTTGAACTTTTGTTGTAGAGGGATTCTTGTCATTTCCTGCCCAAAGTTTGACTTTTCGCAAGGGGTCAGCGAACCACTGGCGGTCCGAGAGTCCCTGATCTTGAGCAAGAGACAATGCGGGCAGATCTCATGAGTGCCTGGCCTGCCCAAAGACCTTCGGCATTCCCGCAGCTATGCAGTTTGGCTTCGGGAGAAAAGCACAGAAATGCTCATCCGATTGAGCCACGTGAAGTTTGGAGGGTCAGCAATGGGCCTAGCCGCCTAGCAGGCTGCTGAGTCGTGTCAGCAAGCCTTTCGTTTTTTTTGGACACCGCGTTGTTCCTGCCAGCGATCGGTGGGGGCAATTGGGGCTCGCAATGGGCGTGGCATGGCAGTCACCCGGCTGTTGCTCCAGAGCTGGCTGCTGGCACGCGCTTGCGGTCTGATTCAGGAGGAGCTCTCGCAGCTCTGGCAGCAGGCTGGCTGATGTTTTCAAGTGCTGTTTGCGCTGTGGAGGTTTGGGGAGAAGTTCTGAACTCTGAAGCTTGGGCAGAGGCAATCACTTCCTGAGTCTGCAGCATACGTGCCCTGTCCCAATCTCTAGTTGTACGGGGGCAGCAGCTCGCATTTCTAAACGTCACTTGCAACGCGGAAAGCTAACTGTCTCTGGTGAGGGGACAGGTGGGCAACTGGGACTGGTGAAAAGAGGGTGCTTTGGGGCCGGGTAGAACGTGTTCAACACGACCAAATTGACCAGCCACCTAGACTCACAAGAGTGCAACCAACACTGAACACAGCGTTCGGCAGCTGCCTGGGTGAAGGAAATCAATTTGTGCCATAGAAAGCTGATGATGCAGACCCATGCTCACTAGAGAAAGCCACCTAGCAGCAAACATGATGGAGATGACAGTGTTTCTTGCAACTGTGCAAAGGGTTTTGTATTTGCAGGCCAATGCTGTTGATGCCGCTGGCCCAGACCAGGCCTTTCTCATTAAATCAAAGCCTTGGCAGGGGAAGGCGTATTTCCTCGGTGCTGGTCTGTATGACAGCGAAAGTGTATGGCCATCGCCGTCGGCCACGGTTCGGTCCTCTGGCTGGTGACCAGGGGGTGTTCCCGATTTGTCAACCAGGTGTTTCTCTGGTTGGTTCGAAATCAACCCATCCTCATGCGGGACGGTCGTCTACGGTTTCCCTGGTGATTCAAAATCAACCCTTAGTCCTTCTGCGGGACGGTCATGTTTTTTGCTCCAAAAGTTGAACATGGTGGGTCTCCCCCACTGGAGCATCCCGGTCGCTGATGCGTTTTGCCCCGGGGTCACAGAAACGGTTCGTCTGAAGAGCCCTGCCAGGCGCTGCCCCAGCTCCACGGCCGTGCGCCAGCCTTGGCGCCGCGGGAGCTGCAGAACGTGGCGGGGCGCTTGCAAGCCACCGAGCTGAGGACTTGGACTGAGGACGCGGGTCTTTTGCCCAAGCGGGTGGCTTGAAGTGACCCGTGGGGCTCTTTTTCCCACAAAAATAACATTTTTTTTTTTTTAATGCCCTTGGTCTCTCCCTCTCACTTGGATCCTGCTCTTTGGCAGTGCGTTGTCCATGCTTTCCTTACAGCGCGTTGACTGCCTTTGGCGAGTTAAAGTCCAGACCATTGACACGCTTTGGAGGACTGCTTGCTGCTGGACGTGTTCGTTGTGCAGCCGGCAACTGGAACTGGTTCGACTCCATTAGAGTTAGATGTGGATTCCGTACGTCGTGGCCCCTTTGCCCCTTGCCAGAAGTTTCACATGGCGCACGACACGGCCTCCGCAAACATGGGTCAAAATGAAACCACCAGGGGACCGCAGGTTTTAGTCCTTGGTTCCATTTCCCAGGGTTCCATTTTGGGCACCCATGCTTGACCCGCAGCCACATCGCGAGGAATGCGGCTTTCGCGTCTTCTGGGCGAAGGGCCGCGGACTAGCCCTTGACTGGGTCGCCAAAGAACGTCGGATCTGTGATCTCTATCATGTGTTGATGATCGAGGAGAGCGACACTGAAACGTTCGAGCACAACTCACACGTATTTTCTCTCCCTAGGTTTTTGGTTCGTGGACATGTGACATTGCTCAATTGCCAGGACGAGTATCTCCTTGACAGCTTCCGCTTGCACCCGCCAAGCTGTCGCATCTTCCCTGTCGACCCGCATCAGGCTGGGCTTTCGCACGGAATGGCCTTTTTTTAATGGACAATGCTCATCTTGAATTTTCTTCCAATCCATATTTGCCACCTAAAATCTACAGAAGAGCCGTGCGTTCGATTGCACAGTGTTTCTCCCAAGGCTTCTACAGGGTGCCCCTTCGAAAACCTAGAAACCAAAAAAAACCCACAGCACACCCTAAAAAGCAACAACAACAAGAAGCACTTACAAAACCTACACCTCGAGCTTTCTCCCTCGTTACCAGGCCCCAGACCTGCCCATGGTGACACTGCCATGGGCCCCCGGTGAGCCCCTGCCGCGGATCACGCGGGCAGTGACTTTCCGTGCCTACAGCGCCTTTTGACTGGTGGCCTTGAATCTTCCAATCCGTTTCCTAGGTCCATGAAAGGGATTCTGAGGGGCCCGTTCTCAAAGTTGTGCTTGGAGATGGTTTCCATGTTAGCATATTTTGCCCGCGGCGTAGAAAGCGCTGCCGATGCCTGAGGTTTACTCATCAGAGGCGCAGACCAATCCGCAAAGATGGCTGCAGGATCGGGGTTGGAGAGCAGAAGGGCACGATTGTTTTGCAAGTTGCCGTGCTCAGACCTTCAGCCTTCATGCTTGAACTTTGCCGGTGCATCCGAATTAGGATCCGGATTATTGGAACCGCTTCTTTCTGGAGCTGATCCGGGAAGACATGTTGACTGTTTGCCTAGCAGAGGAGGAATGCAAGGCAAGGCAGCTTGCATCATTTTCACCCTTGACCTCAAATGGACTGGTTTGCGTGGCTTAGCCACGCATTGCGCTCAGGGTGATGCGGCTCCCTACCGCCTGATGTTCTGGGAGGACATCAGCGCAGAGTTTCTGGAATGCATCGCCCAAGGCATCACTCCGATCTTTTTGGGCACCGCATCTATCTACGAGTATGTCGACGCCCGGCAGCTGCCTTCACGCCTTCCGGTTGTGTGGGGAGGCACGGGGATCTGGCTGTGACACTTGCCAAGGAGCGCAACGTGCTGCTGACGCGCTGGCGCTTTGAGACTGCCCAAGAGATGGTATCCATCATTCAGACCTTGTCCTTGCCAGAGGTGGCGCTTGCGAGCTTGGCTAGCGATCCTTCGCCAGACTTCTGGCAGGTTAAGCGCTGCTTTCTGTTTAGCAGGGTGCCGAGTCACCATGAAGCATAGGATAAGGTGCCGAACCGCTAGTCAATGCTGCCTTTCCTCCATACAAGCCGCGCCAGGGAATCTTGGAGCACGGCACCAGGGTGTTCATGGAGCGACAAGGCAACTACTTCCTCAGTGCCCTGGCATTCCCTCGGCCTTTTTTTGGGATTTGTGCCTTGCTGGTTGTGGTGAGGTATGCCATTTGGGGTTGTGTTTGTTTAGGGTCCCCCTTTTGGGGTGTTTCCGCCACATTGCTCAAGACCCCCCCCCAACCCGTTCAAATGGAGTGAGTGGAGCCCACCTTTTGGGGTATTTAAGGGGGGACCACCCATTTCGGGGGTTTGCCATAGTTTAACCCAAGCTTTTCACAGGTCGCCTGTACTGGCGCCAAGACCCGCGCTTGCGGGCCTTATTGTTGGCGAGCGCTGCGCAGCGGCAGCAGATGTTGCAGGTCCAGGCGAGTGAGTCTTTAGGATGGGTGCTGAATAGATTTCTTTAAAGGAAGTCAACAGGGGATGGATGTTTATCTCTTTTTTTTCTTCTCCGGGCCCCCTATTTCAGGTAGACCCCTTACTTGGCATTTTGAGGAAGGAGCCAAGCCGGTCTAGAGCAGGCCTCCTCGACGCATGTGATGGAGCTGGTGGTTTGCGTGGCCTCGGCAGTCGCAAATCGCGGCTTGGCATCACGTGGCGTCTCTTTGACCTGTTTTCACATCATGGCCTGACCATAGGCACCGTCAGAATGCGGGAACAATCAGCGGAATCTTTGGTAAGATCTACAGGTTCAGAATGCGCATGGCGCATGCTGCATGCTCCGAGCTGTGGTGTTGAGACAGGTGTGTGGGCCGAGTTTCTAAGGGCAGCGACGAGACATCATCAGGCAGACCTGGGGGAGCCAGCGGTTCTTGCACACTTCCTTCGGCCCCATCCTGCTGAAGGCGCGCTTCACTCCCGAGCTGGCTGGTTCGCAAGAGGCTTCGGCACCGGCAGGTGTTGTTCTTCCTGGGGCAGGGTGAGACAGCGCGCCAAGAGCATGATGAGTTTGCCGATGTTGTGCGCCTTGGCGTTGACGGGGCCAAGGCCAGGGCGCGGAGAGGGGGTGCAAGGCACAGTTGGGTCTGTGAACTGAGGCTGCTGCCTGGCTTGCAGGAGGACTTTGGCAGCATCTGGCTGAAGACGGCTGCAATCCTGGGCTTCGGGGCAGAATATTTCCAGGCGCGGGAAATATTGCCCCCAGCAATGCCGGCAAGCTTGAGCTGTGTGCTGCGCAAACTCCAGGGCCGAGCCTCACCTCACGATGATGGCGCTCCAAGGCTTGCTTGAGCCGTGTCCTTTTTAGGTCAGTTCGGTCCACAAAATAGATGGCACTGGTTTCAATGACCTTTCTAACCGTTAACCAGTGCCATCTTTTGTTTTTGCAAAAGGACATATGGGGTCTGCACACTAACAAACTCCGACGCTAACACGGTGCAGGCTGCGCTTTCTGATCAAATGTGATGACGATGCCTTTGTGGACATTGACGCTGTGACGGCTGACCTTTTGGCGAGCGCGCCAGTAGGCAGGGGATTTGGTACAAATTGACATTTGGCACTTGGCACTGAGCGGAGCCAGCCTCTGCAGGTCTTCTTTGGGGCCATGTGTCTTGGCCTAGGGTGGACGGGATTTTAGGCCCCGAGCAGACTGGATTTCGGGGATGTGCCGGTTTTCGGGTCTCGGGGTTGGGTTGCATTCAGCTGAGGTCATGGCCTTAGTGGAGCCGAACCGCATTGCATCGGACAAGTACTTTGTGCCCTACGAGGCGGTTTCCAGTTGGCCATTTGTTTAGGGAGCACTCTGAAAAAGTGGTGGACATTAGTCCCAATGTAGCTGATGTCCACCAAAGGGCCGCCAGTTCAGATTCCTTCCCATATGTAAGGCCATATTCAGGCATTTCGGTTTGTGTGTGAGGGCATGGCGTGGTACTCATGCGGGCGCAGCTGCGGTACTCATGGGCGCAGCTGTGTTTGACGTCACTCGTGCCAGGCCTACCCGAACGCGCAACTGCGCTGCAAGTTAAGGATGGGAAGGTTAGGTGCCTCAGAACGGTCCTCAGGAAAATCACCCATTAATTGAAGAATGGGAGAGGTTGCCTTATTGTGAGACAAACCCAAGTAGCTGGGGTGCTTCTCAGATGTGTGCAGACAGCACTGTGGGTGAAAAAAGCGCAGTGCATATCCTGCAGGATTTGTCTCAAAAAAGCTGCCACATCAGTCATGCATATGGGGAGATCAATGTAGAAAATGCTTGCAGGTGTCGTCAAAGTCCCCAAGTTGTTTGTACGTAGTTGGTGCGCATTGCAATGGCAGATCAGACGAGACCAGTTTGCGCCATAGATGCCGTCAGTGTCGGGACTGAGTCAGCTGATCCCGAAGCATACATTCAGAGAATCGTGAAGGCCATTTTGCGACTTCAAGCCGATGGATTTAATGTGATTTTAGTGAGTCAGCAGGACATCTCCGACTCTGTGTGGAGTATGTCTGGGATGGAGCCTGCTTTTGAGCGTGACCGCTTCATGTACACACCGGCGTTCAATGACACCGTGGTTGACACAGTACGAACTGCTGCTGAGTACGAGTGTTTCTTCCTAACATCTGGTGATGTGAGAAGCCTGGAAAGCGATTGGAGGCTGCCAAGCACCACCCAAGCATGGCTCCGCAAGCACCGCTCACTGCACGTCTCTTTTCGATTTGAGGAAGGTAGCTTTCACCCAGAGTTTCAGGAAGCCACCCGCGGCTCTTCTTTTTCGGGCCCCAAAACCGAGATGTATGCCGACCTTTTTGACGAGGCCGATGGCAAGATGCCGACAAAGCCACACAACAAGCTCAGCAGCGATGATGGCAAAGCTGCAGATGGGCCCCAGGAGGCGGTCAGAATAACCAAGCTCGTCACCGGCTGGATCACAGACTCGCGTAGTCCTGAAATGGCAGTGTTGCCTTTCAAGTACAATGGAATCGTGCAGCCCGTGCTGGCCATCGTGGGGGAGAACGAGAAGGATGTGGTTCTCCAGCAGGCTGGCAGCTTGGCAAACAACCTGCCCGGAAGGGTTCATGAAGAAGAGGACCTGGGGGAGTGGAAGGGGGGACAAGTTCGAGGGCCTTGGTCTGACAAAGGCTTGTCTTCCCACGTTGCCTTCATTTCCAGCGGAAATGAAGACGGGCTGTGGGCTCTTGGGGCTGGGTACAAGAAGCTGGCGAGGCGGCGCGCCGCCAAGCTCGCCTTGGCAGTGGCGGAGAGGGCCAACAAATCCGCCCGGTTTCCGTGGACCATGGGCCCACAGCTTGATCTGCAACTGCAATCCCTGCTGGACCGAGCCCAGCGTTTGATGCAGCAAGCCAGGTTAGCTAGCCCTCATGTGGCGGTTTTTCAGGAAGAGGAAAAGACACCAATTGTGGAGGATTCGGACTACATTGAAATCCCAGAGGAGAAATCCCAGGAGAACTTCTTGAGTGCGGAAAGCTGGTTGGGTGAGCTATCAGCCCCAGTTGTCAGCGATGGCCTTTCATGAACCCCTTGGACAGCGGACATGTGATGAAAGATGCTGTCGGGAGCTCATGGGGCCCCACGCAAGCGGAGCTGAAATTACAGCTTTTGTGTCTTCAGGGGTCCGGCCATAAGAGCCTGTCGCAAATCGGACGTGGAATCCAGATGTGCAGACAAAAGCAGGGCAGCACACTGGCTGCTTACACGAAAGAGTTGCTAAACTGGCCAGTCTCAGGTATTATCCGCCATATGCCCGTGGCATGGCCTATGCTCTGTCTGAAGACGTGGTGATCCCGCTGGGAACTGCTCTTTCCGAGGGGCGATTGGAGCCATTTCCCTACAGGGAGGACGTCTCGGTGGGGCTTTACATTCTAGAGCTGGCTCGGAGGGGTGAGGCGCGATCCATCAGCTTCGTGCCAGAGTCTAAAGCTATTTTTTAGGAGCCCATGTTGCTTGGACACCGAACCCTTGTCACTGCCTTTGCCCTGCTGGTTTTCATTCATGATTTCTGGCAGGTCCGCGTGGTCCCGCATCAGCGCAAAGATGCGATGCCGCTGGCATCTTGACTGAAGGGCTGTGCGAGTTTGTGAGAAATGTCGTTTCAGACGCACGGATTGAGCGGGTTTGTGCCGGCTGCGGACAAAACAACAAGCAAAGCCAAGTCTCGCCGCCTGCCGAAAGCGCCTCCAAGGATTTCGAGGAGCATTGCTCGGGACCAAACAAGATGCTCCCACTGTTGGTGATGCACCGCCACCCGGCTGGCACGGTATCGCGGATTGAGCTCATCAGGCTGGATGCTTTGTGGCCGGGCTCAGTGCTTGCAGGCTTTGATCCGGCCAGTGCGACTTGCCTGTGGCGGCTGGTCCAGGACACTGACATAAAGATGATATATGACATAACTAGTTGTCCTCAAATGTGTTGGCTTTCGCGAGGCGTACTGAGGCCAAGTGAGCCTATAACACGTTAAATGGTTCATTGAATGTTCACGTCTAAAAAAGCGTTTGCTTCTTGTAGAAGCACAAGCAGTGCCACCATGTTGACAGGTTTTGGCAGCGCTCTGCTTGCTCGTTTTCGTGCCGTCGGTGCAAAGCGACCTGTCGAGCCGCAGCTGCGCAAGCGTGCTTGGCGGCCGACTTTCGTCGCTCGAAGTTGCAATTTCCGACCCGGAGCTGCGAAAGGCACTTCACGGGCCACTTTTGCGCTTGAAGCTTGCACAGTTCGAGCTGAAGCTGCGGAGAGCCCTTCGCGTGCTACTTTCGTTCTTTGAGCCGTGGTTCAAGCCGGAGCTGTGGCGAGGTACTGCGCGCGCTACTTTTGTGCCAAAAAGTTGAGATGTTCAATTGTGTTGAATGACTTGTGCAGAGAGACTTGCAGAGAGTGACATGCGCAGAAGTGACTCGCAGAAACGATTTGAGTAGAGTGGCTTGCGGAAGTAACTTGCATAGAGGAACTGGCGCAGATTACGCAAGCCAAGGTGGCTTGGCGACAGTAGCTTGCGCGGAGTGTTTTGCGAAGCGTGACTTGTGCAGAGTCGACTTGCGCGGCGTGATTTGGGTGGCCGCGTGTGCAGAGTGAATAGGTCAGAGTGGTTTGCGTAGCGTGGCTTGCGCAGAGCAATGTGTTTGCCCAGGGTCACTTGCGCAGAGTGACTTGCGCAAAGCGACCAGCGTAGAGTTGCTTGTGCAGCGTGACTTGCGCAGAATAACTTGCTTGTATTGTTCGGCTTTCGCAGGCTCAACTGCGTAGAGTGGCTTGCGCGAAGTAACTTGGGCAGAGCGACTTGCGCAAAGTGTTCTGGGCAAAATGGTTTGCACGTTGCAACTGGCGCAGCGCAACTTGCACAAAGCGACTTGCGTGGAAACAGGGTGACTAGAGCAGATTGACTGACTTGCGGACTTGCGTAAATTTTCTTTCGAGGCCTGATATGCGCCAAAAAAACTGCATAAGTTGCTTGCGCAGAGTGACTTGGCCAGAGTGACCTGCATAGAGCCTCTTGCGCAGAGCAGCAAGGCGTTGCTCGCGCATAGAAACTTGCACAGGTTGGCTTGCGCAGGGTGGCTTGCAGAGTGGTTTGCGCGGCGAGTTTGCGCAGAGTGGCTTGTGCAGAGCGATTTGCAGAGAGTGATTAGGGCTGCGCGGAGTGAATCGCACAGGGTAGCTTGCGTAGAGTCAGGCAAGCCGTTGGCTTTCCGCTGACTTTGAAGAGCTTCCTTTTTCGTGCCTATTTGCGCATCCCTGACCTGGGACGAGCGAGACCTGCTCGAGGATGCTGGAGAGAGAGAGAGAGAGCTTGCGTAGAGCGAAACGCATAGATATGGAGCGATCTGCGCAAACTGACTCATGCGCAGAGCATTTCACGCAGAATTTCCAGCGCAGTTTGACTTGCGCAGAGTGGCCCGCGGACAGTAGCTTGCGCCGAGTACCTTGGGAACAGTGACTTGTGCGGAGTGACTTGCGGCGTAACTTGCGCAAAGTAACTTGCACCGAGTGACTTGCGCGGCGTGACTGTGACTTGCGCAGGCTCGCAGAGTGACTGGCGTAGAGTGACTTGCGCAAAGTAACTTGCCGAAGAACTTGCACTAACCGGCTTGCGCGGAGTGAAATGCATAGATCAGCTTGTGCAAAGGGAGTTACGCAGAAAGACTGGGAAAAGTGGCTTTCGCAGAGAGACTTGCGCAGAGTGGCTTGCGCAAAATGCTTTGCATAGAGTGACTTGTGCGTGGCAATTTGCACAGAGTAAATTGCACAAAGTGACTTAAGTAAACACGACCGGCGTAGAATATATTTTGCGCAAAGTGACCTGCGCAGAGGTTGAATTACGCAGCGTGTCTTGCGGAGAGTAGCTTGCGCTGAGTATCTGCGCAGAGTGACTTGCCTTGACCCAGAGGCTACGACAGAGGCAGCAGCTTTCATAGCTCAAAGTTGCGATTTTGAGCCGGATCTGCGGAAGAGTGCTTCGCGGACTAACGTTGCATTTGTATTGTTTGTTGCCGGTGCTGCAAACAACTTCGCGCACTACGTTCGGACGAAACCAGTTGCAATTTTCGAGCCGGAAGAGTGCTTTGCACGCGACTTCTGCACTCAAAACCCAGTGCTTCGCAAGAGCGCTACTGCGCTACTGCCAAATCCCTGATCAAATGGGTTGCTAGCCACCCGGGAGTGAGCCACCCGAGGCCCTAAAACTAAGGGTTTTCTTTGCACTCGCTCACCGATCCAATTTAATTTGCAGGGTTTTTGTGACCCCGGAGCCAGCTACAGCCGCAGGCACCAGCCAACAGCCACCAGCCACCAGCCACCAGCCACCAGCCACCAGCCACCAGCCACCAGCCACCAGCCACCAGCCCCCAGCCCCCAGCCACCAGCGCCGGGAAGTGAACGACGCTCTCCGTGACTCAGCGCCAAGCCAATGCCCCTGACCCGGCCATGGGCCATAGAGCGACGAGCCGCCACCCTGAACGTCTTCACTGCATTGCGGGGACGGCAGGGTTGGACAAACGAACAAATTGCTCGGACGCATCCACCAGCCACCAGCCACCAGCCACCAGCCACCAGCCACCAGCCACCAGCCACCAGCCATCCAGCCCAAGCCCACACTTGGGCCCACGATTATACATCCAATACCATCTTTTCTTTTCAGGAATTCAATGCGTTCTCGAGGCGCCTTTTGGTCAAAATCATACGTCCACGGGGGGTCGGACACCGGGCTATGCGTGAGGAGCGCAGAGAAAATCTGGCGAAAGGTCATGCTGAAGACGCGGACTTTTGTCAATGCTCGCGGACTCTTGGTTTGCAAGGCTTTGTTCGGTAGCTCAAGTGCCATGGAAGGATGAACATGCACACGCATCACGCATCCATGTACTTTTCTAACGGGAATCCCGCGTAAATAAACGCCTGGGGGGGTGTCCCCTTTAAGAGGGGATCCTTCGCTTTGCTAGAAACTGCTCTATGCATCCCTCAAGCTGATTAATTCAGACCGACATTCTTCGGCACACTTTGAGCACTGAGGCATGCGGGCCGCTTGACCTGAGCTTGGCGTGAAAAGACGGTTTTGGCTTGGGATTTTGGAGCATGGCATTGGTAATCATGTGGTTCACCAAGTGATGTGGGGCTGATCCTGCCAGCGCAAATTTTCCCAGATGCTGGATTTCCCAATTTGGAGGGCCTGGCTTCTTGTGCGTTGCTTATTCACCGTTTCTGCACCAGCTTTCTGCCGGACGTGATTGGCTCGAGCAACATGGCCAGAAGGCCAGGTGCATTTGCTAAAAGCAGGCCGGC